CAAAACCCAGACTTATTGGCTGTAAACTCAACTTTTCAACTTTTGGGGTTCTTATAAGGTAGTCGATTCTGAAAGTTTCAATTTTTATTTCCTTGGGTTTTGGGCTTTTTCAGGAATGGGGGTCAGGGATTTTTAAAGTGTTCCTAAAGGAATTTAGGCTTTAGGGGTTTAGGGTGTAGGGTTTAGGGTTTAGGGGTTTAGGGTTTAGGGTTTAGGGGTTTTGGGTCTCTAAAAGGATTTAGGATTTCGGGGTCGGTGATCTTTGTAGGTGTTCCTAAAGGGATTTAAGGTTCAGGGTTTATTTTTTGGGGTTTTTGAATTAGGGTTTAGGGTTTGGGGTTTAGGGATAGGGGCGTAAATTCGGGCTTGGGGTTCACGGTTCCTTTAAGGGGGGGGGGCTCCTTTTTGAAAGGGGCCTTGATAGGGTTTACTAGAAGGGCTTTAGTATACAGGCGCCTCAATAATTCGATCCGGGGCTTGGGGATCGTTTAGTGTAGGGGCCTTAATAATTAGAATAGGGTTTGGGGGGTTTCCTTTTAAGGGGGTTCCTTTAAGGGATACTACAAGGGCTTCTATAGGGGCCTTCATAACTAGAATAGGGTTTGCGGGGTATACTACATACTAATGATAAAAGCCCTGACATTACAGGGATCTTTAAAGGGTTCCTAAAGGGATTTAGGGTTTTGGGGTTTCAGGGTTCAAGGCTTTGGGTTTTAGGGGGTTTCAGGCTTCAGAGTTTTGGGTTTTTGGCGTTTGAGGGCTTTGGGCGTGCAGGGCTTACGGCCTAAACCCTAAACCATACACCCTAAACCCTAGGGTTTAGGGTTCATGGATCTTCACTTGGTGTTCTGCTGGTTGGCTCTTAGGACTTTAACTTTGGGGATTCTACGTGAACGATCATAAGAGAAACAAAGTTTAACCTTTCGTAGGGGGTCAGAAGTCAGGCAAGTTTAAAGTGTTCCTAAAGGGATTTAGGGTTTTGGGTTTTGGGGTTTCAGGGTTTAGGGTTTAGGCTTCGCGGGTTAGGGTGTAGGGCTTCTCTGGGGGAGTTTATAGGAGTCTTGGAGGAGCTTTCAGAGGGTTTGTGCAGGGTTTTATAAGGCTTGATCGGGTTTGTTGTTTTAAAGGGTTTTTCATAGGGTTCTTACAAAGGGTTCTAGGGTTTTCTTAAAGACTTTGCAGGGTTCTTCCTTAACCCTAAACCCTAAACCCTAAAACCCTAAACCCTAAAACCCGAAAACCCTAAAACCCTAAACCCTAAACCCTAAACTAGTCCCCATCAGCCTTAGGATCCAATTCTGTCTAGTACTCGCTTAGGTTCCCTAAAGCTCCCTAAGGATCCCTAGGAGCCTCCCCCCTTGAGCCACCCTCCCTTAAGGATCCTATAACCATCAGCCTAACCCTAAACCCTAAAACCTAAACCCTAAAACCCTAAACCCTCAACCCTCAACCCTAAACCCTAAACCCCAAACCCTAAACCCTAAACCCTAAACCCATCAGCGTAGGATCTCATCTCCAACCTCAGAGCCGAGCTGGCGAGCGCTTCTCCTGCTAAGCGGAGGTTGGAGGCTGGGAGTTTGGGGGGTTAGGGGTTTAGGGATTTAAGGGTTTTGGGCTTAGGGTTTAGGGTTTAGGGTTTAGGGGTTCAGCAGCTCCGGATCGAGCAGTTTTTAAGTATAGCGGTATTCAAGGCTTTGATAGAACACCCACCCACCCTCAGAATCCCATAACATTAAGAAAATACAAAGTTCGTTTTATTATTCTTTAGCCAAGTTCTTTTCACGAAGTTCGTTTTATTATTCCTTAGCGAAGTTCTCTACAACTTAGCGTCATACCTT